TGAATGCTCTAGTAGAATGTGAATGCTCTTTTGACACTAGTGGAGAAAATAGAGAAAATCAAGGGACTGGTAACTGATCATTTGTCCCTGGACTTTCTACTTCCTCACAGAAACTGTCATTTCATAAGGATAAAGATTTCAATGAAATTCTCCTTCTTCACGCCGCAGTCTTTCTGCCAACAAATTGGAATTTATTTTCATTTGTTTGCAATATATATATATACATATACCAGAAGTAAATGCAGTTGTGATTCAATATTATATGTCTAAATTATTCCTAAACAGATTGACTTGAACAGTTAATTTGCTCATGAGAAAGTCCTTGTGAACAGTGACAAAACTTCCACAAAGCTTGAGTGATTTTGTCTGTCAAAGAATATAATATTCTGTAACTAGCAAAGTGCAATATTTTGAATTTGTTTTCCTGTTAAAGCTGTCACATTTAGACACATTTAGATGTTTTAAATTCTCTTACTTCAGAAAATTTTGCAATATTGACTTTGCAAACTCATTTGCAAGAAATTCAGCATGAGATAGGAGCTCTCAGCTAAAATGTCTGTGAATATTCATGCATACATTTACTCCTTCCTTCCTGATAATATCCTAGATTTTCCAAAGAGCTCTCCATTTATAGCAACTCTTAGCTGTATATGTGGACCTCTGACACGTAACAGAGCCTTAGGGTGATTATTAGGATAACTGAGTATTTTTGTCTGTTTATGCATCACAAAAAGCCCTGAATTACCTTAGTCTTGTCAAGCATGAAGTGTATAAATGCAGTGCAGTCCATTTGTACAGTAAGGAGCAGGAGTGCAAAACTGCCATGACAGGTGCAGCTTTGTTGCAAACACTGTTGACTAGATGTACAGGACATGCTACCAATTTCTTAGTAGCAAAATGCCAGAGTGTTTTGAATTGTTGCTTTCTATTGTGGAAGACAAGGGCCATAAGTGCATCCAGATCTTGTAACTTTTAGGATGTCTTTACTTTTCAAAATGTAGGAAAAAATGCACTCTCTGGGACGTGGTGTGTAAATAACTAGTGTCTATTGAAGAAATTTGCTTTAAGAGAAAACATAGCAAGAGGTTTATTTTTTAAGCTGCACGTAGCAGCTGACTGTACTCACACACTGAGGGGACAACATAGACACAAATGTTCATTTTAATGAGAGAGAAAGGGGAGGTGGAGGCAGCTGACCTAGATGATTTTATGAATAAAAGATATAATCTGATGCAATCATTTCATTAATACGCACATGGCACCAAATGAAAACAGAATGTAGCAGATGGCTATGAGAGGTCTTAAATGGGTGTTTTCAGTTTAGTAGCTAACTACTTAGATTTTGTGGATTACACCAAATACTTTCAGAAAGGAAGCACTCGTCGTATCAGTGTTCAATGAAATTTCTACTGTTTTATAAAAGTAATGCTGCAAAGTCTGTTTTTTGTGGCAATAGCTAAAAGGTGCAATCACAAAGCAGAAGTGGGGCAACACACTTCACAAAAACTTTGAAAAGAAAGACCTGCTGTATTCTAAGATCTGAATAATAGCTTGCAATTCTTAATTAAAAGCTCCTTTTTTTTTGCTCATTTCTGAGGTCTCTGAAATTTTGTTACAATGAGTAGAAATGCATTTTTTTAATATAACAATGACATACAATAACTTATTGTGCATTTTTTATATCTAAGCACAGTATTTATTTATTTGCTGCAGGTATGTACACACTACAACCAACTACTAACACAAGTCATGAAGAAAGTTCTTGGGAAAGTCCTAAAAGTAAGTGTCCTTATTTTAAGACAAAATATTAGGAATAAATTTGGGATGAGTGTTTGCTATTAAAAGGAGACAATGTGTGGGTGGATGATTGTGTAGGAACCAGATTTTCTTTTTACATTGGTTCACTTGAGCGCAGAAAATAGCTCGTGGGGAGCATACTGTGATTCAGAGTTATGTGGCAGCGGGTCTGCAAGTCCCGTGAGGTCCCTGTCCCACTGTGGTCAGCCCTGGTGCAGGGAGGCTGGTGGGAGGGCAGCTGTGTCCCCCCTGCTCCCTGTGTGCTCAGCTCCGTGCTGGAAATGTGCAGCCTGAGAGATCTGGCTGCTTTCCGGACCTTTTGCAAAACCAGAGCAGAGCAAAAGGGCTGGATTTCTCAGGGGGAATCTGGCCTATAGCTTCTTAGAGACAGATTAACCTCAGTCTGGCATCTAAGCCCAGGAGATATACAATCTCATTCTTCAGATCTAATCCAAGATCTACTTGGTTATATTATTTTAACATTAATTAATATTGAGGTAGTGACATCTCTGAACATATATTGACTCCATAGTTTTGATTTCTTTTTGAAAAGATTGTTCGAACACCTAGAAACGGTTGAATTTGGTCTGTAGTGGAACACTCAGTTTTTTTAAATACAAAGCAAAAAGAACAAAAATACCCCTCTCATCACCAAAAAGCATGTTCTTAGATATGGTGTGAAAAATATTTTGGTTTTTTTGTATTTAGCTGACCAGATATTGACCCGGACAGGTTAAGCCCTGCTACAAATCAATACTGCTGCTTCATTAGGAAGCTGTTCTTTGTAAGCTGGGAGAGGCAAAGCTTTGATAATCCTCGATGCTTGTGAATGAAGCATAGGCATGATTTTCTAATGTGAATACCATATGCAACACAACATACTTCTGCAGCAGCCTTGGCAGGCTGCTGCTGTTCAAATCCTGTCTCTTGCACAGCCTGATACGGTCAGGGGAATGGTGTAAAAACTAAGATGAACCTTCAGAAGTTGAAAATCTTCTTACGTTTGCAACTCTCTCTTGCAGTGATGACCATGATTAGTCTGAGCACTTTGTGGTTTAGATAATTTGTCAGGCAAGTCCGCCAGTTGCTGACATACGCGTGATTAATAATGGAAGTGCAAATAATTGCAGTTTTCATGCACTTTTGACTCTTATACCAAGCACACTGAGAACATCACTGTTGGCTCCTATCAAGTCTGTTCATCAGAGTTCTCATTAACGACTGCACTTCCTAGGTCTAGAAACTGTACATGGATGTCTGTGAAAGATCCAACTCCTCGGAGCTTTCCAGTCTTTCCAATGTGCCCTGCCATCATGAAAGAGTCTTTCACACTGGTTTTTATCTTCTCCCCAAAGCCACTAAGGCCTGAAACTCAGTAAACTTTCCCAAGGCTAGGGCAAAATATCTTGCATGAAAAGAGAGGTCATCTGCATTGGACTGAGATGCAACTCCTGCAAGAACATGCCTGAAAGTATTTAGCTTTAAACTCTATTTACATCAAAAGCTATTTTAAGTAGTGCTTACAGGCTTGTAACATTGATGATAATGTAAATTTTCACTAATGATATTTGTCCTCTGTTTCCACAGCTTGGCTACCAATTTAAAGTAGACTTGATTGTACACAACAAGCACTAAAGCACTAAGTGACTGTTCATTAAAAGCCCAGCATTTGATCTGATCGAAATTTGTTTATTCTTCTTCTTCTTTTTTTTTTTTTCTTTTTTTACTGGTCATAAAAAACTTAGATAAATGGCTTTTCTGTTCCAATGCTAGAGAATAACTTTCTTTTGTAGGAATTCTTATTCTTGCCCGTGAAGAAAAAATCTTTTCTCCTCTCTTCAGTGATTTCAACTAAAGGCTTTCCCTCACTGTTTGGTCTTGCTAAATAGGATTATCATCATTATCTTGTTATATCCTCTGCAGTCTCTCCTTCTACATATGCATTACTGCTCCCTTTGCTGGTTGATTTCTCCCATTTTTGGACTCATCTCCAAACAGAGATCCACATGACACAGGTACTTGTCAGGGTACTTGGCTAGTTGCAAGATTTCCCTTAAAAGAAACAACCTTATATATTTTTTTTTCAATTGCAGGCATCTGGAGATTTTAAAAAATGACACACACAAAGCAAAAAGCAAATGCAGGAATTATGAGAATAAGCTTTCAGGTAAACTACTGTAAGATTTCAAGGAAAGACAAGGAAAGATAACCCGATCTGTAATTCCCAACCCAGTAATTCCCGACACTGTGAGAAGGAAGCAATCCAGATTATTGAATGCTTCTTCACAGACCCCTGACTGGGGAAGAAGAAAATCTAACCATTTCTGAGCAAAGATTATTCACTGCTCTTCTCTTATTTGACATCTTCCTAACTCAAAGATTTGTGGATGCAATCAGGCAACAGACTGAGCATCCTGTGACTCCGATCCATCTGCGCTCTCCAACAGAAAGGGCAGCCAACCTGGGAGCGTCTAAGACACGCAGATGTCCTCTACACAGATGAAGCTTAGTCCTATCTATTCAGAAAACACTTAACATCATTAACACAAGCTAGAATTGGTTCATGGAAGAGCTGCAAGCAAAACAAAGGACTACACTGTTGCAAGGGTCTGAGCAATTCTGCTATTAAAATAGTCTGATTTTACTGAGTTTAGGAACCCAACAATCCAACTGACTGAGCTTTTTCTTATGTCACTTTTTAATAAGATTAGTTGGGCAAAGCAAATAGCAGGTATGAATTCGTAGTTACCCTATAGTTGAGTCTTTATGGAAAAATATGGAGCATACACTTGGTTACACCACTGGAGAGTAAAGTAGTTGATTCCAAGTGGCATCAATGTTTTATGTAGAATTCTTTTACAGAGACTCCGGTTCAGCCCCGGAAGGTGCTCACTAAATGGAAGATATTGTTTTAAACACAATATAATAATTCAGGGAATAAGATATGTAAACTGATTATAGTTCAAAGATTTATCCAGAGGACTTGCAAGATTTTTATATGATTTGTGTGAAGGTTTGGTAACTTCCGTAGCATGAATTCATTCTCAATCTCCAAATTTTCTGGAATAGCTATAGATACATTTTATTTTCTCCCAGAGATACCTATGTCATGCACATAGCTGTAATCAGGTGAGAATGAAAGCGCAGTTTTAAGTGCAGTATCTCGAAGGGTAAGCAGTGCTGTTAGGTGAGGGGATGGCTCCATGACGCAGCTCCTTGGTGGGCATCAGCAAACGCCGTTCAGCGTTGGGAGGGCAGAAACGCCTGCCTGGGCACGGGGCCGCAGCAGGGTGAGCACCCGGCCGGGAGCGCTGCCCGCTCGGGCGAGGGGACGCTTGGCGGCAAAGTGAACCTTGTGCCAGCATGGGCAGATCTTCCTCCTGCCCTCCTTCCACCTCCTCGCATATTTATTTATTCCCTCCCCTCCCCAATTCTCCCCCCCCAACACTGTTTTATTGCATTTATTTATTTATTTATTTATTTCCTCCAGAATAATAAAAAATGAGAAAATCCTAGCGCTGCTTTTGGCTGCTCTCCACCAACCTGTCAGTGACGCAAGCGGGCACTACTTAAAGGCAGATTAGAGGCAGCAAGACATTAAAAGCCAACCTTCCTCCGTCCCCGCCGCGCCG